GTCAAGATCAAGAAGTCATACATTTTGAAACTAGTTAAACAACTCAAATGAGATAAGTCAGGGATGAGCTACACAAATGTGAAATGACTACTTAAGACGTCATACATGATTTCATGGATGTACTTTATATTTTGTTTAGTGTCTGCTTTTTTGTTATGGCAAGTAAATTTCTAATAGTATTTATTGAACTGTTTTGCCAAATTTAATTTATGTTGTGTTTTTTATACTTGTCAAAAAATATTTCAAAATTCACCAACTTCAAAATTTATATGTTGTTTAATACTATATTAACATTAAACTATTAAAATTTATTGAATAATCATATTTCCTAAATAAAATATTATGAAAAAATATTCTGAAAATTTCAAAGTAAACGCGTTTTCCAATTTTTTTGTTTTGAGAAATGATTTTCCAGAATGGCAAGAAATTTCAAAACAGGCACTCAAAACACGAAATTCAAAATGAATTCAAAATTCAAAACTATAAACTTGAAATAGGAAGAAAACAGCCCCTTAGTGTTTTTCTTTCTGAAATTCTAATTCTTCTCTGTAGAAATCTTGATTGAATTTTTGTGTACTTAGGCCATCTCCAGCCCTGCACCAAATTTTGCACCGTTTTTCATCAAATTTTACACCAAATCTTGTACCAAACTAAAATTCATCTCCAACCATTACACCAAAATTTGTACCAAATGAACAGTGTTTAACCATTTTCTTCCCATTTTCTTCTTAATAATTTATTTATTTGAAATATTATTTATGTAATTATTTTATAAATATATAAATTACTAAATAAATAATTACGTTAAATTACGGAAAAGATTAAATTCATTAATAAATATAAAAATATATAATACTATTAATAGAAACATTGCAACAATGAAAATATTAAATCATGCCATTGAAAAATAGTGCAATGCATTTCAAATTAGGATATTACGAAGTCGAGATATTATTACAATTTAATTCTCGGAATTCATATCATTTTCTTTAAATAAAATTAGGTTATTGTATGTATATCGTCGTTTAATATATTTCATTTAACTTTAAAAAATAATCGTGTTTGATATATTTTAATTTTTTCTTCTTTTAATTAATTCATTAATTATTTTTTTATTTTTTAAATTTATTTTAAATACAAATAATAATATTAATAATTTATTGTATTAAAAAATATATAACACAAATGACACAAACACCCTCAATCAATTTGTTTGGAAATGGAAAAGCAAGGGCAAAAATGATATTATCCACTTTGCACCATTTGCACCAAAATGGTGCAAAGTTTGGTGCCACGTTGGAGGAAATTTGTACCAAAATTTGGTGTATTTTGGTGAAATGGTGCATACATTGGAGATGAACTTAGTGTAGGCAAATGAGAAGACTGATTTGTTTACCTTGATGAACAATTTGTGTAATTTGAGTAAGGCGAGAGAAAGATTGAAGAAAAATTATTATTAACTTGTTTATTTGTGTCAAAGCTTGATCTACATTGTACATTTTCATCGGGGCTAGTAACATTCAGAAGATGTGAACTTTCGGACCCTTCACTAATCGCTGAAAGAATCTATGCTCGTTCTTTAATTATTTGCAAATCTTATTTCGATATTTTTGAGTTTAAACGATATATTGGGATCAATAACCCTTCTCAACATTTCTCCACTCAATCTTGACATGTGCCGTTCCATTCAAAATTGTTAACCTACTCAGAACATACCCAAGTTATCTCAATCCTTCAATAAAACATTTTTAGTAGTGCAAGTTTGGTAGATACAAAGCAAGCTATAGAATATGGGCATCCTATGAATGGAAAGTGTGGACAAAGGTTTGACCAATTAATATATTTGTAAAAACTTTACCAATATAGCCCTTGTTTGAGCCCCATTTTTTTTTTTTTAGAAAATACATTTTTAAACAGTGTTTTGACATCATTTGAATCACACATTATTCAATAAAATAATATTACACGAAAATCTAAAATTTTTCCTTATTTTTTAACCACACATTTCACATCATATCACTATTCAAAAATGCATTTTCTTTGACAAAAATGAGGCTCAAACAAGGGCATATAAAGAGATAACACAAATTGCAAAGGAGGCTAAAACTTCCCAAACAAGACATGACAATCACATTTTAGCCCCCATTTGTGTAAACTATAAAGTAGAAAAATGAGTTTTAAAATACTGAATTTTTGGAGAATGTGATTAAAAAGTAGAAAAAATTGACTTCTGTGAAAGGTATTTTATCATGGTAATGTGTGATTGAAAATTGTTTCGAGGAAAAAAAATGGTATTTTGAAATAAAAGTACACAAACGAGGGCTTAATTAAGACCAATTAAGATCCTTATTGAATTGAATTAGATAGATGCAAACAGGAAGGACAAGAACTAGACAACAACTTTAAGTCCCAAAAGGAAACAAGAACTCATATGATAAATTAGCGCCAGCAGCATTTGATGTTTAGGCTTCCTTTAAATTCATCATTTCTTTCCATATCCACATTTTATTGAACAAAGTTAGAATTTGGGGAAATAGTTGTTAATTTCACAGGGAATTCACCTTTTACTTAGACAAGGAGACCAAAGGAACCTAGTCATGTCACCTTTAAAGTTCTCTATGAGTGAAGAGTAAACGACAAGACATTTAGACCATCTTCAAAGGTATACGGCATATTTGGTGTAATTTTACATCAAACTTGGTGCAATTTGATGAATTTCTTCAATGATTACATATATTTTGGTGTAAAATTTACATCAAATTTGGCGCAATTTGATGAATTTCTTCAATGATTACATAAATTTTGATGTAAAATTTACATCACATATGGTGTAACCATGGAGATGCATCTACACCAAATTTTACATTAGATTATCTAATTAAAAATTATATTCAATGAACTAAATAATGTATTTATCAATAAATAAACAAGAACCTTAAACAGGATTTCAAAATATGATTATTACTTTTATTTTAAATTATTTAATTAAAAAAAGTATCGCACTTATTACTTGATTATAATTTAAAAATAAATGCTAATTAAAAATAACTATCACATTAAAATGATATAAATAAATTAAAATCAATTAATTCTAAAAGATAAAAAATGATACAAATGGAACAAAAATTTGTTGTAAAGGGGAAGAGAGCAAAATGGGGAATATTGAAAAACTCCAAATTTGCCTAACCATTGAAGTGGTTTTTACACCGAATTAAATTTGTCTAACCATTGGAGATGCTCTTAGCAATGCCACAACTCCAAAAGCATCCTACTCTTCTATAATTAATTCATTCTAATTTATCTTAAACTCCATGTATTAATCTTGAAAAAATAATCCAAGATCTTAGATACTGTTCTTTCATTCAAACATCAAAAATAACTGAGTGGTGGAGTTGGTTTGTTGTTTGGACACAAAATGGGCATGTCGTCTCATGTGAAAATTACTAATATTGGGTTGAATTATGCTAGTTATACATTCTGGATGACATTATGAATGGCATTGTGCGATGTGTGAAAAATGTGCCATTGATTTGAATTAGTGTTGTTAAAACCAATAGCTCAAAGTGTTGCCAAGTCAAACAATGTTATTCGTGTCGAACTCAATGTAATTGTAGCAAAACTGCATTGGGTTTATCTAAATCATTATATTTTCCACAGATCCTTTCATATGCAAATTTTATTTAGGTTAAAAACTCATAATAAATTCAATGATGTTAGTTAATTAAGAACAGAAAACGCATCAAGTGGAAATTGTGGTAAATTAATTTCCAATTTGTTGATTTTTTTTTTATTTTTTATTTTTTGGAAAAACGTTGCTTTAAAAAATGCTTTTTTTTTTTTTTGGAGAATATGTGATTAAAAAGTAGGTAAATATTTTAAATTTATGTATAGAATATTTTGTTGTGTGAATGTAAGATTGAAAATAAATAGGTAAAAAAAGAATTTTGAAAGAATGAAAAACGAACATAGGTATCCAGTTGAAAGTTAATAGTAATTTACTAGCTCCACATGCCTTTTTGCATGTTTTTGTGTGTGTGCGTAACACTAGAAAGGACATACACTTCTGAAAATAACAACATAGTACATCTGCAAATTGGGACACCACCCAAGACTGCAGGGTAAGAACCTTGCTTGGTGTACAGAGAAAGAGCTATCAGGGTCAATATAGGAAGAATGTGGCATCATTCCATTGGACATAGACAAAAATTTAAAAATAAAAAAAAAATCAAAAAATAAAAATCAACTGCTAACACTGCACTTGTGCAGCCCCTGTAGGTTATTCACCTGTACAAGGTTCCATACGCGGGGGTAATGAGTGGGTTTTGAATGCATTTTTTCTAAGAAAGTGAAGGCATTTACAATTTGTAAAATGAAAATAGTTAGTGTCCAATATCGCCCTTGTTCAGTTGGGATTAAAATTATTTTTTTGTAAAAATTTTAATAAAGATTTATGAAATATATGGTTGAAAAGTTTTAAATTTCGTTAAATAATAGTTAAAATTTATTATTGATTTTAATTAAGATATACCAAACAAGGGCATAGTTAACTCTTTGGACCCATTTGATATGGCTTTTGAAAAGGTAAAAGGACTTTTTAAGATTCAACGTTCAACTAATTTTCTGAAAGTGTTTTTCCTAATTAGAAAATTTTTTATAGGAAGTTGATTCAATATGACTTCTTCTAAAAATACTTTCGAAATAAGAAGTTTTTTTAAAAATTATTTTTCAAATAAAATTAAGATAACTTTTTCAGAAAACTCTTCTACAAAAAATAAAAACAAAAGTAAAAATCATGTCAAATTGACCATTAACATAGTAAAATGTAAAAACAACTATTTTTGTTTTAAAAAAAATTATAATTAACATAGAATTGCACAATTTCCACTGCCCCAATCCCATCCCACCATGTACAATTCTCCACAACCCACAGATGAAGAAAAAACCAAGAGCACAAGATTTAAATTAACCATGCACCCCCACTCCACCCCACCCCACCCCACCCAAAACTCTACTCCGGTCAATATGACAGGAAACCAGCAATGAAACAAGTAGAAGTTAAAAAAGGTTGGACCGACCCTAGCTTCTCATATACTTCTAGCCATCATTTCTTGGAATCTCCTATAAGACTCTTGTTTCTCCAACCTGAACTTCTCATGGCAGTTCTCAATGAACAAATCAGCAAGTCGATCAATTTCATTTCTTGGATTCTCATGACCCTTCTCCTCAAGCCACCGGAGATACGATGAGAGCTCGGAGCCGTCGTACTCCGATGTCGGAATAATCGAATTCCAAGTGGAGCAACTTTCGAGCACTGGCATTGTTACTGGCATCACATGAGAAGAACACCAATTGTAGTGCAATCGAAATGAACCGAAAAAGAGTTTACGCTTATTCTTGTTTCGTTTCAAGGCTGGGAATTCTATAAAGTGAACCAGTTGAATATCTTTAACAACTTCAGCTAGAATTGCTTTTGCTTTCGTCAGAGCACGAGCCATGCGGTACAAGTGTGAGAGAACGAAAGCTTGAATTTGCAGTAGGGTTTTCATTTTCATGGAGCTAAAGGAGGAAGAAGAAGAAGTAGTTTTCATGGAGACAATATGAAGGGAGTTGAGGGTTTTGAGAGATGAAGAGACAGCCATATTTTTTTTTTTTTTTCTCTCTATAGGAAGATAGTCAATAATATGTCTTGTAAGAGTGGATTTTATACAGGATATTGGTTTCCAAATTTCCACTTGATAGTAGGTGATTTAAATAAAGTGCCAAAAACTTTGCAGATTTAGAAGTGTGACTTTTTCTTTCAGTTTGTGACTTGTTTGGCAGGCAATAAAATCCTTATAGCCAGTTGAACACTGTATTAATATTAACTTTTAGATAAGACATTAATGATACAGTTTTCTTTCTCTAACCATGCAATCTTTTATTTCAGGTAGTTCAATAAAATCTACAAGAAAAGGTGTACATACTAGCCAAACACGTCCTAACTAGATTTTTCTGTTCACATAATTCCCAGCCCGCTATGCATCTTTGAACTGATTGTAATTATCAGTAATTCAAAAGAAAGAAGGGTGGTTCTGGAAAAATGGGAACCAGTATTCTTTAAACTTTAATGAGTTACACGTTATAGATAAAATATAATTCTTAACTTTTATTTACTGTTACATTTATAATCTTAAACTTTTTCTTATCATACTTTTATCATATATCATTTTTGGCTTGTTTAAAAATATGAGCGGCGAATAAATTTTTATTTTCTATCTTATCCAAATTTGGACATAAAAAGTCATTAGGGACAATTTTTGTTAATTTAAGAATAAAAGTGAGATAAAAAATTGTTGGAATTTTCTATTGAAAATTGGTTGTGACCAATTTTACATAATTATTTAAGTGAAATTCTTAATTTGGTGAATGAGAAATTAAGCCAAATATAAGTCGCTTAATACTTGAAATTGTTAGAAGATTGTATAAAATATTGTGGAATATTCTAGAAAATAGTTGGATGAAAAGATGCATTTTCATATGAACGGTCATGACCTTCGCATAATCATTTTCCAATAATTATGAATTTCAAAAGATGTGACTCTTGGTATGATTGTATTTTTTGACATACCTTTCCAACTACTATATATAGACCACATGTGTTTGAATTTTATCATTCAAGAAATTTATGAAAGTCAATAAATAGTTTCATATCATTCCATTTCATATTTACACTTTAGTATGCATGAAATACTTGCATCAAAGTCATAGGTATGGTTGTTGGTGGAAGTCATTTGGAGTACTCCTATGGCTTGATGTGGTCGTTGTATCTTGAGATATGATTGTTGAAAAATCGTTAGCACCTATGCGGGGCAAATTCATCTTAAGGACAAAGTGTCTAACACTTGCCTCGGCCGATCGCATCACTCGCATCTCACCTTGATTCTTTCTAATTTCTTTTTTCATATTTGATTGCAGAAAATTAAAAACATTCTTTTGATTTCATGTAGGTTTGAAATAAAAAAAGGAAATGATTGAATTTGTCGTTTCATCTTCCCAAATTCATTTCGATAAGATGAATTGCGTTTAGATTTCGTGAATATAAATGACATATTTTGTGAATATAATATGCACAATATCGGTGTAATTTTCCAACAATAATAAAAATAAAAAATTAAGGATATAAATATGATAATAATTAAGATAAGTAAGACCTCTTCTTCGCCGATGTTACAAACCCAATAACGTTATTATATACAATCTGTGAAACTACTCTTATTTATTTATTTATTTATACAGTTATAAGTATATATTAGTTATGTTGTAATCAGACAACCCGATTGAAATTTTATGTAGTCTACTTTTTCCTAACAATACTCACGTTTTTTAATATTATCTTTACCAAACTGATTAATTCCCATACAGAAGATACAAATGACTGTTTCTTCTTGTATTTTTCACTTCTTTACAAATTTAATAGATGATCATCTATAATCTATAATTTATTATCTATCACATCAAGGGAGAATCAATTTTTGGACAATTTTAACCCCCCTATAATTCAATTATTTTAATAATACTTTACTTTTCGTTTTTCGATATGTAATAAATACTACATAATTATTGTCGGTTATGAAATTTTTGTTATTAGTTCTCAATTAATTAACATTCATATTACTCTAGATTAAATGAATTTTGACTTGATGAATCTTGAATTATATGAATCTAGAATTATTATAGGTGAATTTATTCATATTCATGTATCTAGAAATTTTAATGTGTGTTTAAATATAAGTATTAACTGTTAATTTTTATGTATCAAATGTAATATAAAAAGATTACTCATTTTACAGTATTTCATCGTTATAAAAAATTTGAATCATATAAATTCAATTTTGAGAGTACAATTTTATTCACTTAAATTTCCATGCTAATTTTTTTTTTTTTTTAATTCATCCGAGACTCATCAAATCCTCTAACAAATTGGTACCAAATATTACTTTTACATTACTTATAAAGTATTTTAGAATAACATGCAATGCACGTTCAACTTTTACTACTATGGAACAAATATCATAATAATCAAGATTTAAGTTCATTTTCTTTCTTTAGTGTCATAGAATTCACCTTACGATAAGACATGTCGTAAACTTTGGTTGAAATTTTTTAAGCATATTGTAATCAATAATTAATTAAGCAAAGGATAATGTTGGTTAGTTTTATTTAATAGGAAATAATTAAAAAATAATCTAAGTTTGGATTGACCACTTCAAGACTAAAAAACAAAATAACTTCACGAATTTAATGCATAATCCTCTCTTCCTTTAGGAGTTTTTTAAACAATAAATCATTTAAATTTATTCTGATTTGTGAAGATCTAAAATCAAATAGTTATTGTGATTTGTGAGACTTTGAAATCAATGATTTCGTATCTGATGCACCGCAAGAAAGTATATTCTTGCATATAACCAACCTTGAGAAATAAAAACAAAACCGTTAAAAAAATTATTTTTTTTTTAAAAAAAACAACAAAAATCATAGATGAGCCAAAAATTGGATATGTTCAATATTGAGTAGAAAGAAGGAAACTTGACCAACAAAGGGGAAAAAAATGGAAAATGAAATATGAAAAATAAGTGAGCAATCGAGGACATTAACATAAATTCAATAATCAAAACTCAACATTTTAAATTTCAGTGACCAATCAAAGACATGGATCAAAGTTCAGTGATCACTGGAACAATTAACTTGAAAAGGTTAAATTCCTCGCGTTTAGAGATTCTGTGGTGAGATCAAATACATTCAACTCATTGTAATAGTACAAAAATAATATTTAAGGTCATACATCAATGTGAGCTCTTTTATAAATGTGTGGTGGAAATGTAAAAGCCAATAAAAGGGGTGAAATGGATAGAAGTTATTGTTGTAGAGAGAATATAGAACAAATTAATAAAGCAAAAGGAACTTGTTAGAATAGGTGAAACACGAACCCCACTTTAATGTGTACTAAAAGATACATTCAATCACATTAGAAGATTGGAATGCCATCACCATTTCCTTTATCATATTCCCTAGAATCATTTGTCACCATCACACTCCAATTCAACATTTCATTTCACTTTCTAGATATTCCCAAAATTTTAAAATTTGAAATTTTATACCTCAGTCTAGAGGTGTAAACTAACTCGTGAAAAGCTAGCACGACCTAGTTTTGAGGTGGTTCATGACGGACACGCTGGTCGAGATGCATTTCGTGATGGTCGAGATGTTTGGCACACAAGCCTATATATCTTTTTTTTTTTTTTTTTTTTTTTTTTTTTTTTTTTTTTAAAATTTTTTTTTACTAAAAATTTTACTTTAATCTACACTAAACAGGGGCTAAATGTAAAATCTTTTAAAACCACACAAATTTAATAATAGAAATTGGCGAAGTAGATAATGCATTTCTATTTCTAGATACCATGCATATAACGTACTTGGGAGCACGTGATACTAAGCTCTTGTTTCGGTCTCCACTTTAATTAGATTTTTGGAAAAATATATTTTAAAATAGTAATTTTTTGGAGAATGTATAGTTGATAAGAAGAGAGAAATAAATGAATTCTAAAAATATATTGAACTGCCACTTACATGTTCGAGAAGGTGAATCACTACATACATATGATCATGACTAATATTCTCTAAATTTGGCATTACTTACTTGAATTAAAGATGTGGTCATACATACGACAAAACAAAATATTAGGTTTAGGATTGCGAAGCTTTGATGATCTTCTAAATCCACTTTTCTTCGTAATGCAATATAACAAGAATAAGTTGTAATAATTCTTTTGGTGCTTTTGGGAAGTTTACCATATAGAGAAAGTAACATTAATCATTGGAAACCTTAATGACTTCACATAATTAATCATTAGCACATGGAAAGCTGGTTATAAAGGGTTTAGTGATATAAGCCAAAGAATTTCATTAAACGATGATGTATTAATGTGCCTACATATTTCTTGTACGTGAAGGAAAGATTTGGAAAATATATGGTGACAAGTAACAATCGTTAGCAGTATCATCATTCCACCCACATCCAATGCATGCTAGCTACGTTAATAGAGCTGTAATTCATAGTATGTATCTATATCTTATATCGGGTTAAAATAAAGTAAAAACGTTCAAGGGTTTGAGCTATGCTAAAGTTGATATGTTAATATACAACTTCAAAATTTATTATGAGCTTATTATTAAGTTTTAAATGAACAATTCGTCTTGTTTAATAACCACTTGGAATTTAAGATTAATATTTACAAATGAACCACAATCTTTCTAGCTATCTCGTGTAACTTTTAACTTCCTAAAATGGGACGTGGAATTGTGTTTTTGAATTTGTCAATGGCATTCTAGTGTTGCTAAACATTATGATGAGTAGTTTGAAATTAAAATAAACTATTAATTGTAGCTAGGATGTGTTGGAAAAATGGCTTGTTGGGGCCGTTTCGGCATAAATTTGAGTATGACTCATTCCTTTATTTTGGACTATCAAAGTAAATTTGTATTTTCCTTCATGAGTAAATCGAAATCATATATTCACTTGCGAAAAATGATAATCGAGTGAATAAAAAATTGAAGCTCAAAGTAATAAAGTGGAAGATGTTAATGTGTTAGATGGAAAACTTTTAAAGTTTGTCCCATATAGGAAGTTTATAAATGCAAAGATCACTTTATATATGGCTACACTTTAGAAATATATAATCATGGATAGTATAGAAACTCTTTCCACATGCACATGTAGAAAGGGTGCAAATCAAGGACCGAAGTATTCAAATAATACTTCGGACCTTGACCTCGTGTGCGGGCACGATCTGCGCACAC